ACTGACAAGGGTCGGAGCTGGGGTGGGTAGCGCTGCCCTGTAACTCCTGTCTCTTATACACATCTAGATGTGTATAAGGGGGGGGGGGTGAAGAGAGAGAGAGAGAGAGAGAGAAACTGAGAGAGAGAGAGGTGTATGACAGTGGCAACCTACCTAACTTCAACTCGGGAAGCTTCTGCTCCTCTCCTCCTCCAACGTCCTTAGGATCCTCTTGCTCGCCTAGTGAGCCGCTTGCCGACGCCATGCTTACACCTGTGGAAGCAACACAGATTGCGATATCAAATAAATAAATAAATAAGGGATGACGTTTCGGATAAAGAAAGCTGTCGCGCGACGGTTCGGGAAACTCAAGCAGCGAGACGGAGAACGGACAATGCAAGGGAGAAGCAAAGGCAAAAAACCGTTGCGCAGACGTGAATGAAGATGACAACCAATGTCCTCTCTCTCTCTCTCTCTCTCTCTCGTGAGCGTGGATGAGTACATGTAGATGGGGGATTTCAGACACCGCGCAAAGTTTTGTGCCTCTTACCTGAATGTCTCGCACGCTCTGTCGTTTAACACTCCCGTGTTCGAAGCTTGCTCTCCTTTTCGCTTCAGCTCTCCCCCTCCGTGGCGTCAAAGGCCACCTACCGGTAGTAAGCCACCTTGCTCAGTCGCCTTTTCCGCACCAGAGCGCGGAGATCACCGCACAGCACGCACTACACACACTGCGAGAGAGAGAGAGAGAGAGAGAGAGAGAGAGAGAGAGAGAGAGAGAGAGAGAGAACAGCACACACTACACACACTGCGAGAGAGAGAGAGAGAGAGAGAGAGAGAGAGAGAGAGAGAGAGATGCACAGATGCTGTCTAGCACGAGAGGGAGGTGAGGAAGCGGACTGGCATGCACGGATTGTCAGCCACGCGGCGAAGACCACCTGCTCGCCCACGGTTGCGCTAATTTTCTCCTTTTGCGACTACCCCGCCGGCTCTTGCCGCTCTCTATGAAAAACAAAAGCCGGCCGTCCTTCGAGAGTTCAAATTTTGCGCGCTTCAAAACCGGCGCGCAGGCAATTTCGAGGACTTTCTGTTCGGACGGCCATTTCGAAAATTCATAAGAGCGACTTTAGGGCGGCGGGGAAGGGCCGGTAGCGGTAATTTTTTTGCGCTAATTCTCGCGCTATTCGGAGAGAGAGCGGTAATCCTCCAACTTACCAGCCGAACGGTAACTTTTTTACCGAGTGATCAGGCGGCCATGGTGAATTAGGGTTTCACTGTCCTCTTCACCATCGCAGGCCAAGTAGAGACGAGAGCTCGTGGTCACTGGCCATGGCCGAACCATACGCTTTGGCCCATAGCCCGAGCTGGCACGATTTGGCAAAGGGGATATGAGTAGGAGGAGCTTCGGGGTAGGGAGCCGCCACACATGGAAGAAATGTATCAAGGAGAGGTGAGAAATTGAACGCAGCGGCCCAGAATATAACACCCCAAGATCGGTATTGAGATAAAACACGTCACATCACCCACCCATCTTCCCTGCTTATTCAAGGGTAGGAGTAACATATGTCCAATAGGTAGGAAGAAAGTACTACGGTGGTAAGTCCGTGTCTGTAAAGAAGTTTTCCGAAAGTTACATCACGGTAAATCCACTGAGGCAGCATTGGCCGGAACTTTTACTACAGTTATAACTTTCCCCCGAATCTTTCTTTTCCTTCCACCCATAGCTCTTACTCCATAAAACCCTCTAATAAACAGGAGAAAGATTTCTCGTCACCATCATGCGGAAAGCACCAGCATCAAGATCAAGACCAAGCATCTCGCCCTGGGCCAACGGTGCCAGAGGTGCTGCCGGCTACCAGCGAAGAAGAGTGGATCAAGGGGCTCAATTGCTTGACCCTCATGCCCCTCCAGATTCCATACGACTGATTCTCTGAGGAAAAGGGTAAACAGTGAATTCGAACGTAGAGGCGGCCCGGTTCACAGAGCAGGAGTCGAGGGAAGTGCATCTCCCTCCGGGTCGGGACGGTCCCCCGGGATAAGTAGACGGACTGAAAATGTAGTCACACGTGGGGGATTGGCAAAGGGTCACGGAGGAAGATTACCACTCTTTACGAACTGTAGCCAGATCCCTTGAGCAAGGTCGTGTGACGTAATTTTTATCTTCCTTCCTACGCATAAGCGTATCTAGCTGCTTTGTCGACTGCATATAATAGAACAACTACGTTAGGGCATTCGTGCCAGTTTTCGAATGTAGAACATCCTAATCAGTGCCCCCGCTAAATCTTCCGTATTGTTGTTCTGACACTATCATAATCATCTGCAAATACTCGCTATTTCGTAGTCTGGATTAATATCATCTAAAATCACCATCATTATCTTCATCATCAGTTTTGGTCTCTCTGGCCTTCCCTCGCTGGTTTATGGTTCAATTCAGTTGTGATGGTAGGTGGTTTAAGATGGGGAGAGCTCTACTTCGCAAAGGCAGCACAAGGAGGAAGGTGCTCGCCCTATAGGGAGTAAGGGCAGATTCGGGGATTGTTCCCATCTGGGGCTGGGAGGGATGAAAGGAGTCACATCACCTTCTAAGCGGTGGCAGATTAGGGCAGAGGCAGATAGAGGTGTACCATTAGGGGGAATTGGTTGCCTCGAGGGGAGTAAGGAACGATGAGGTGTCATTCCCTTGTTGGGGCTGAAACGAACTGCCTGTTTTCAGTGCAGTTCTGCTCAGCAGAGGCGGCAGGGGGGTGAAGGGGAGGTAGGGGGGGGAAAGAGATGGGGAGGAGAGGGGAAGCTCAACCCTAATCAACATTATCATCAACATCATCATCTGCTTTTTCATTGGTTTTTTCATTATTGTCCTTTTCCAACTTTTTTCTCCTCTAAGTCACTAATCATTGAATACAGGCGAGATGGCAAGCGGGTAGTATGGAGGGAACTGATCTCTATAGGAGCATCACAATGTGGGAGGTGATTGCTCTGTAAGGAGGAAAGGTTGAACGTGGGATGTACTAACCTGGAGCTGGATAACATCTAGCAGAGGCAGATTAGAACAGCGGAAAGATCGGAGCATACTTTTGGGGGAATGGTATGCGTCGAGGTAAGCAGGGTTGCAAGTGGGTCTGCCCCTAGTTGGGGCTGAAGAGGACTGCTCCTCATTCGGGTGGTTCATTTAGCGGAGGCAACAAGGGGCGGAAAGGGACAGACAAAAGGAGAGGTGGAGGTAATCTCCATCATCCAATCTTCATTATCAGAAGGTTTTTTCTGTTTAGGATTTTATTGGAATCAGATCCTGGAATGCTAGGTGTCATTATTGAATTAGCAGTTTCTTGAATGTGCTGTGTTTTTGTAATTGCCCAGGTTGAGTTGATGCCAGGGCGACGCTGGCCAGTGCTGGGGCTTGCCCTGTAACCTGCATGAGTAGGAGCTTGAGGCCTTGTAGAGAGATCTGGGGATTGCTGAAGGAGGAAGGCGATTTAGTAACTTGACTGACGGCTACAATTAGGACTGACAAGGGTCGGAGCTGGGGCGGGTAGCGCTGCCCTGTAACTCAGCTAGATTGAGGGCGTGAGACCGGTGTCGAGCGCATCGGTCCGGCACCACTCAGAGGTAGCGCGGGACCCTCCCGGCCGCGTCACGCAGGAGTTGGACCAACCTTGTCGCGAACACACAACTGAAGCTTCCTTAGGCCGCTCCGGCCGGGTGCGCCAGCCATACCGCTCGCTAGCCCCTACGATAGGACAGGGCCTACGCGAGGCACGACTACCTCCACCTTACGAGAGCTGTCACCTCCCTTCGGTGGACGTATCCCCGTTGAGCTACCAGTCCACAGTACGAAAGTTGATCAGCTGCAATCGCCGAGGGCGATTGCAGCTGAGGGCGTTTCTCGTTCGCTGTAGCATAAGGGGTACGCGTGGTACTACGCCTCTATCGGACCCGCATGCGAACCAACATCTTGGGGGGTTGAGGTCCCAAGCGCAGCTTGTCACCGGTCGACTAGGACGCATCCCACACGCCACGCGCACACCACTATAAGGTACATAAAAGTAAAGCGTACACACACACGCACACAAGTACTGAACGACGCAAAGGACGTACAACGCGACACCCTCCTAGTCCCTTAGTATCCATCCCATAACTTCCTGGTGCGGGAATCGGCTGAGCGTCGTGGCAACGCGACACCCTCCTTACTCAACTTAAAGAGGCTTCAGCCCTAGTGATCTTTTCTGTTTTGTTAAGGTTTCACTCGGACTTTTATTGAATGGCCATTTAACAAAGGTACTGAGTATTTACTTAAGGTTGGTTGGCTGGAGGTTGGGGCTTGCATGGTTGAGGCAAAGGGTATGAGCATAAAGATTGGTTGGAGTTAACTCCATGTAGTGTATGGACTTGTGCTTGACTCTTTGATGTGATTGCAGGTATGTTCTGTGACTTGGATTATTGGATTGGACTGCTCTGCGATCTTATATATGTGCATGAGGGGACCCACTGTGATTGTGAGATGTGATCGTCACACGTTCATTCCCATATGTGTGCATATGTGTGTATATGTGTATGTATGCGTACCTATGTAGGGTACTTGTGTGGCCTGAAAGGGGCCGCGTGCTAAGGAGTTAATCAGGGGTTGGGCTAGTAGAGAAAGGATGACCCCATTACTTATATAAGTGTTTCTTGGAGATTGCTAGTCGAACGTTGGTCCTGGGCCGGGATTCAAGGTCCTTGTCCAGGACATCCTAAGTCCTAGGCCCTGCACTGAAGGGGACCCTCGTCGGGCAGAGCCTATTTGCCTTGACCGCCAGGGCACTCGGGCCGAAAGACGGACGCGCCGCGGCGGCCGCACGGCTAGTCCTTCAGCCGTGCAATGTCATGAAGGGCGGAACCTTCACGATACTTCGAGTCTGACACGGGGGTGTCATAAGCGGTACTCGGATCCACGAGGGACCGCTCGATTATGGGCACTACATAGTACGCCATCTTCGCGACTTCTTGCGTGCGTTGCCATTGCTAGTCGATATGAGAAGGCCTACGCCCGCGCGGCTTCATATTAAGGCTTGCGCACGACGCTCAGCCGATTCCCGCACCAGGAAGTTATGGGATGGATACTAAGGGACTAGGAGGGTGTTGCGTTGTACGTCCTTTGCGTCGTTCAGTACTTGTGTGCGTGTGTGCGTGTGTGCGTGTGCTTTACTTTTATGTACCTTATAGTGGTGTGCGCGTGGCGTGTGGGATGCGTCCTAGTCGACCGGCGACGAGCCGCGCTTGGGACCTCAGCCCCCCAAGATGTTGGTTCGCGTGCGGGTCCGATAGAGGCGTAGTACCGCGCGTACCCCTTATGCTACAGCGAACGAGAAACGCCCTCGGCTGGTCCACCTCTGCGATTGCAGCTGATCAGCTTCCGTACTGTGGACTGATAGCTCGACGGGGATACGTCCACCGAAGGGAGGTGACAGCTCCCGTAAGGTGGAGGTAGTCGTGCCTCGCGTAGGCCCTGTCCTGTCATAGGGGCTAGCGAGCGGTATGGCTGGCGCACCCGGCTGGAGCGGCCTAAGGAAGCTCCAGTTGTGTGTTCGCGACAAGGTTGGTCCAACTCCTGCGTGACACGGCCGGGAGGGTCCCGCGCTACCTCTGAGTGGTGCCGGACCGATGCGCTCGACAGGTGGCGCCGTTGCCGGGGATAACGGTTGCCTGCCGTTGTCCCTGGTGGAACGACATCCGGGTATTGGGATAAGGAAGAAATCAGGCATGAGTGGGAGATTTGGAGTGAGTCTATAAGTAAGGCTATAGGAGAGATTGCATGACTATAGTAACTATGTGGGAAAACGCACAGCTTAGGTAGACCTTGTGAATGTAGGTCTAGGAACGAATGGGATGTGGGTGTCAGTTAAAGTCTGAAACGCCCAAGGGCTAAGTGGTTAGCTCGATAGGCCTATATTGGAGTGAGAGTGCTGAATAAAGTTGCCCTTGTACCTAGTCTTACTACAGGGAAGTTAAGTGAAGGACAGGCTGCTGAAATGACAGGCGGCATAGGCGACAGTTCAGGGAAGTCCTGACCCTCGATGATCTCATCGAGGCGATGGACAAGCGGGAGAGAACGCTGAGGAGTGTCCCCAAAGTCGACACCTTCCACTTCAATGGGGAACGAGTCTCTGAGTGGCTGGACCTAGTGGAGCAAGCCTTGGTGGGAGTACCAGACAAGACGAAATTCAAATGCATCCTGCAGTATGTGCTCCATAAGCACCATCCGGAAGAACAGAAGGTGGCCGACGACGCTAACGGTGACTGGGCTAAATTTAGGGAAGGGATGCAACGGAAGTACAGGCTGGGAGACGGCCTGCTGATTATGGCGGACCTAGAGGCAATGAATAGGGACGACTTCACCACCATTGGGGCGTTCCTGCAAGAATTCAAAAAGAAGGCAAGAAAGGTACATGGGATATCAGAGGAGGCGCAGTGCGCCGTCTTCTTGGGACTGCTCATTGCATCTGAGACAGTTGAGCTAACAAGCCATGAGGGAGGAAATGCCAAACTTACCTGGGCCACTATTGACAGAGGAGTGGAGGTCGGGAGCCTCGACCAGGTTGAGCAGCACCAGGTGAGGCTGCAAAGGCAGAAGAGGAAGGAAAGGGATGCTGCTGGGACGCCAGGAGTAAAGAAGATCATAACCGACGTGCTAGCAGGGCTTAGACCCAGTGATACAACGGAAGGTGACGGCGGCGGTCCAGGCAAAAGGCAAGGGGGCCGCGGTGGAGGAGGCTACCCAGGAAGGATGGGAAGAGGAGGAGCCGGTACCTCCACACCTTACGAAGGCGCAGCGTAAGCAGCGCAATCTAGCACAAGGCGGACAAGGGTCAGGAAAGGGCCAGGCGCCTCAAGTAGTAGTAGCGGCATCTCCAAGTTCGCCTGGGCCGTCAAGTAGTGCGGGCCCGTCGCAAGCACCAGTGCCAACAATTGGGCACTGGTCATGGCCCCTAATTAATACCTATGTACCCTGGGGTAACCCAGCGCCGTCTGGACAGGTAGTACCCTACGTTGGGCCCCAAACAAGCATGCCACCTCGGAGCTACCCTGCCGCCCAAACTCAGCCAACGGTACCACCTGCGCCGACGAAGTTCACAAGGCAGTGTGACGGGTGGTGGTAACCAAGGCCAAGGGAACCAAGGGAATGAAGGAAGGGGCGTTGGACGAGGACGTGGCAGGAATGGCGGTGGCCGAGGAGGRCAATGGGGCAACCAAGGTGGCCAAGACAACCAAGGCGGCCAAGGCAACCAAGGGGGCCAGGGCGGTGGAAGGGTCCGTTTTGATTGGAGGACTGCCATATGTCAGCATTGTGACCAGCAAGGTCACACTATACGGTTTTGCAATATCGGGCAGGAGGATGAGAAAAATGGACTGATTTATTCTAACATGGATGGGGACATTTACGACCAATTTAGAAATTTTATTGATAGGAAGGCTGGTGGGGTTAGGGCGGAGGCCCAACGAAGGTTGGCAGCACAACAGCCACCCCCTGCCACGTTCAGGCTATGGCAGGAGAAGGAGGAACTGCCAGTTGGAGTTGAGGAAGTAGGAAGTGACGAGGAAGTAACCCAGAGGCTACAGGTCGGGGATGCAAGAGAGAAGACCATAATCATCGAGTCGGACGATGAGGGTGGCGATGAAGAGGTAAGGTCGGTGGTAGTCCTGCTGAATAAGATGAAAGACTTATTGGACAAGGTAGGGAGATACCAACGGAAGTTGGTAGACCTCTGCGAGGAAGTGAAGGAGTGGAGGGCTAACCTCCCCAAGGTCTTCCTTTACGACTCTGGTCCAGAGTCCATGCCGGGGTGGCCCGGAGTGACCACTGTGGGGACGGGCCCGCGATCAGGGATGATGACTAGGCCCCCTACCCCGCAAGTTAGGCTGGCTCAGGCAGCCCGCACTCGAAGTCAAGCCAAGGCAGGTGCGAGTCAAGAACCTCCTCGGAAGGAACCCGAACCAAAAAAGGGGAAAGAAACTGTAGAGGTAGAGGATGATGATGATGATGAAGGGGAAGATGACCGATTACATCAGGAGGAAGATCAGAGGGCCGAACAGCGAGCCAAGAAAAGAGAAAGTCGGGGAGAGGCCGAACCAGTTATGCGAGACGTACCACCAAAGAGGAAGAAGTATGTTGTCCGGCTGGAGGAAGGATTTGATGTAGAGCGAGTAATTGACAGGCTGCTTGAGGGCCATAATGATTTAATGACCCTCAAGGAGATCCTGGCTTCCGCGCCAAGGCTCCGAAATGAGCTGAAGGGTAGACTGTCAAGCCGGCTGGTACCAAATGTTCACCTCAACGTGATCCTGCCCAAGGAGATGGAATGGGCAGAGCCAGGGACGAAAATGGATTGGAAGTGTCTGGCTTGTGGCGTGGTGGACCTAGCAGTGAAAGGCTCTAAGTGCACGGCCATGGTAGATATGGGGGCCGAAATTAACATTATCCGGGAGGCTGATGCCGTCATATTTGGTCTAGAGATAGACCGCTCGGACTGCGGCATCCTGCACAGGGCCAACAACAAGGCTGTGTTTTGTGGGACAGCCTCGAATGTGTTACTGGAGATTAGCAGGGTGAAGGCGCGGGCCTGTTTCTTTGTGATGCCTGATGTGGACCACAGTATCCTCCTGGGGAGGTCCTTCCTTTGTAGGACAGAGACCTTGATGTATAATAAGCATGATGGGTCATTGATTTTGATCCTATGTGATCCAGCATGCGGGAATTACGAAGTGATTACCTGTCGGAACACTGGGCCAAGGAGCCTCAGGAACAGGCCCAACCCTGGCTCGTTCACGATCGAGGAGTCAGAAGACGCACATCGGAGGCTTATGGCAGAGCCCGAGGAGGAAGTAGAAGGTGAAGCCTTCTCGCTCAGCCTGTCGGATGCGGGAAAGGCCATGGATATAGTGGTCACGCACGAGATGGCCGATCCGGATGCCATTCAGGCATTGAGGGAGCAAGTTCTGGAGTATCCCGAGGTGGGGGAGATGGAGCTGGTCTATCGGCTTCCTAAGGGGAGAATGGATCCGGCGGTGGTACAGGCACCGACACGAGCGGCAAGTCAGCCTTTTTTAGGGGCCGGCTCAAGCAGGGTGTCCAAAGGCGGTACAAAACGATAGACAAAAAGTGTCGCCCAGTTCCCGTTCT